GGCTACGTCAGATCATCACTTTTGCCCAATGGACTCTCTCACTAACAAGGTGATTTATTACTTACAGAACAGTTGAACTTGCTCATAAATGCTCGGTTAATCAAAATGACACCAAAAAAGCTTTCAGTATCACTATGCCCTATTTTAAAAAGTAGAAAGACGCATTTCTTTTAATGCTGACTGTTTTTGACCAATATGTTGCGGATATATAAACTGATCTAATTTACTGGTTGGTGTCCAGCTCCACTAGAACTCCTTTTTACAGTTTTTAGAATACTGGGTAATGTGCATTTTTGTTTTTTTTTAAAAATCCCATAAAAATCCATTGATTTTCTAACTGCTTTATCCGATGCAGGGATGCTGGGGGAGCTGAAGCCTACCCAACCAGCAGGGGGCACTTGACACACTCTGGATGGGACACCAGTCCATCACAGGTCTCATACAGATATTAGTTTTAATTTCATATGTAGCATAAAGCTGATGTTACGCACAATTACACTTTTTCAGGACATCATTTGAAAACTAAAGTTGAAGTCCAATACGCTCAGCATGGTACTGCCGGAATGGAATTCAACATTCAACTTGGTAAAGCAGGTAGGAGGAATTTATTTTCAGATTTCTGCTTTTGCCTTTTCGAGTCAATCCCACACCCCCCACGGGCATGTGAGACAAAGGCCCCAGAGATTTACTTCAAACAAGTTGCCTGGTCGGAAAGTAAGAGCCCTTGTATCTCTTTTGTTGGGTTATTGATCCGGTCGTAATTGGAAAGCGAGATTGTGCAGGGACAATGTGTGGCGTTAATGAGGTTCAGGTATGCTAATAAAAAGGTTCTGATTTCTAATTCCCGTCTTTTATCTCCGAGATGACAAGTATTGAGTTACCCATCCAACATTCAGACACACTCCTTCCTTCCTTGTGCATCCCTCCGGACCCGGATAGATTTCCTATCATTATTTCATTGCCCTGCTCTCCATTTCCTCTCTTCCTCCCTCTCCCTCCCTGCTCCTCTTGCTCTCTCCCCTCTTCATAAAACTGATCAGATTACCATGCTGAAATCTGCTCTGCCTTTGTGAGGCTTGTAGTCCTTTCACAGGCTCACTAGTTTTCCTGCAAGACGCTCACATCGCACTTGACTGCTGTTCCACACACTTGAACACTCCCAAGATTTCACTGCATTCCACTGCGCTCAGACCTGCACCAAGTCCAGGGCTGTGTTCTGTGTCTCAACTCATTGGAGTGTTGCACTTAACCTGTTTTAGGTTTCCCTTATTGCACAGGGGATTAATATATACTGCTGCCACATTCCTGTAATCAGAGAAGGCACAGATCTCTATGGAGCAGGAGGGGGCATAATTATTGCAGGCGTTCGACTGTAGATTTCTTCAGTTGCTCACTTTCTGTGAGTGAAACTCACATGACACACAGCCTGATGTTGATGTTGCCTGTTTTTGTTAAGGGGCACAAGGGCGAAGGCGCTGTTATTATTTGATGGGTTAATCGATCGATGTGAGGTTTTTTAAAACGTGTTTCTGCCTATGTAATAACTGCAATATATAAGAGTGGAAATCATCCCATTTTCACCCAAACCTTCTGACAGAAGTGAAGGAAAATATTTCTGATTCAGTTAAAATTGTTAGTGCACTAATGTAGATGTCAGTCTTTTCAGTAAGTGCCTCTTTTAAGCTCATAGTTTATTGTTTAGAACTACTGATTGGTTGACTCTCATTGGCAGAAGTGGAACGGATAATACAGCACCAAGATCTATAGACTGTATATAGACAGAAGTGTTCAAGTCGGAAACTGTGTCAGCATGTGAGCTATAAATAATCAAATACTGATTAATTCCAGGCTAACATGTCATAGCAATGTCATAAAAGATATGATATTTTAGCAAATGTTGAAGAATGTTTCAGAACAGAAGTTTTAGAGAATGGATTGATGGGGTGTTAGAAAGAGACACTCCAGCTGCTTTAGCATGCTTTAGGATCAGGTCTCCATGCTTGACAAGCAGATGTCCCTAGTTCTGTCCTCCTGTAAAGTCATGGCTACAGACGCACATAAGAAACTGAATCCTGTACTTAAGGGCAAAACTTACTGGTAATGCATTCATTCTGCTTTTGAAATGTTCAGGAATACAGATCTGTGAATTCACATACAGTTCAGAGACTACACATGCCATCTGTGCACTACATAATTGCATAACTGCACACAATTGCAGAAACTGCGCACTTGGCTAATTTCCAGTTACCTGGATCCCATACTGAGACAGCCCCCTAGTGGCCGACACCTCTCCCTGCAGCCTCCAGCATGTTTTGTGTGAAGTTTTTTGCCCTGTAAACCAAAAGGACTAAAAGTTGAACTGTTCAACTGCAAATCAGTTTCCTCGTGCATGAGGCAGACCCCGTGCTTCCTTATTTCTTCTTGTCCAGGTTATCACATTCCCTGCCTCTCCGAGTCTCCACTGTTGAGACCAAAGTGGTATCTTGTTTTGTTTTGTGGAGATGACGTACATTTCTAGCCCAGCTGTCCAATAAAAAAGGAAGCTGAGAGCAGTCAGAAATAATTGATCCCACCCAGGGAGCCTGAATGTCTGAGGACAGGGGCTCAGTCCAGTAGGCGAACACAAACCCAAGAGCGTGCTCTCCAGTCCATTACACTGTCCAGTCTCCTTTTTTTGTAGTTTTTAAAAACCACAAAATGGCTTCCATGTGCCCTTCTGCTCCCCTTCCCCACCTACCTAGACCCTTGTGTTTCTAGGTCAAAGCTAAAGTCAAATCCAGAGGGAGCGTGTCTCACTTGGAGGGGCAGACACCTGGAGGATCTTTTGATGGGGAGATTAAATTGCAGGAGTAATCTCTCTTAAAGACTGCTCAGCACACATGAATATGTCACGAACAGTAGTTAAGCCAAGAAGTACAGTTTCATTCCCACTAATCCCTAACCCGAACTGACCCTTTGGGTTGTCTTGCATTGCTCTAGGAAAGAGCTTCTGTTATGTTTAGAGACACCTTAGCGCTCCAGTCTATTTCAGACAATGAATTTTAAATGTATTCCTACCATCTTACAAATACTGGAAGGACAAAGCTGTGTCTGTTACTCTCAGTTGCATTAAAGAAAAAGTCAGATGCGTGTCCTTTAATAATCAATCAAAAGTCTTTCAGAGGGGCTTTTTTATGTCCTGGAAGTAAAAACCCCTTGTGTGTTGTATTATTTGTGTTGACCTTTGACAGATCAAACAGATCTTCACCAGAACCCACATTGTTTAATTGCCCTGTCTCTTTATTAAAGCTCAGGTGATGACCTAAACCAGCTCAAATATTCTATCAGAAATTACCATGTGAGCAAGACTGATTATTGCTCAATTCCTGCTGTGTACAGATGATGTAGCCAGCTCACATTGCACTGCCAGCTTCATAAAACCCTCTTTTTTTAACACACCCTTCTTAAACCAATCCAAACTGTTA